CTTTTTGAGTTGCTCTTTTTGAAGGGCAACTTTTCCAGTTACCAAGTCCAATTACACAGTTGACTCCAGGAAAACAACAACCAATCTACCTACATAGAAGTGATAAGAAACTCAAGCATATAGAGAGCACATTCCTGTGTTAACTAAGCAATATAATATAAAATTAAAGCACTGTTTCGTTCGATTCCCTACTGTAGGGAAATAGAGAGCTATCTACAATAATAATCAGGAAAGAGTATCCTATTATTTTTTGACATTCCTTCAGCAAAAGTGAAAGAAGTAAACCAATAAATTGGTTGAGAAATGTTCTAACATTCATTCAAAAGAGCATTGCTCAGCAGATTTCTCATGGAAATTTCCCTACTTTATCAGGCATCATTCTATATATATATATATATATTTTGGCCATAGACATCATTCTCTTAAAAATGCAACTTTTTGAATACGCATTGCCAATTGTCATGACAAACTTATTAAGTACAAACTATCGGTACATATACTCATAAATCTTAGTAATAGATAAAACAAAAACAAAAATGGGAAGAAAAGCTTTATCAATGATCAGCAGACTACAAAACAATCCTATTAGCTACAAAAAGGACAAAATGGATTCATAGACCTAACAAGAACAACAAAGTTTACTGGTCTGCTTAGGTTTGAAAGTTGAGAAATTCACTTGTCTTCTCATCAGCTCAATGAAAATCTCTAGGTTATCTCCAATCACTGTCTTAGGAAGCAGAATCGTCTACATTAAACTTGCCTGAATCCAGTGAACAGTCATCACACATCATCATTGCAAGTTGATTGAATAAAAGTCATCAGTAAGCTCCCTTAGTTACGACATTGATCCCATTCTTAAATCAATCTTAATCAACTGAAATATTTAAATCAACTACTTCTGCTAGAATGTCCTCCAAGTTGACATGGTGAAACAAAAGAACTTCAGAACATTAAGCTAAAGATGGTCTATATCGGTTTACACTTATTCAACATGGCCTGAGAGATTTCCAATACTGGCCTCAAATAGAAAGTTAACCAAGTGGGTAAACTACTACAATTAGATACTGAATAAATAATTTTCTTGGGTTTATGATCAAGGGTGAAACTCTGCTTCAGGTATATGACAAAGACAATCCTTTAACTCATGTGGCAG